CCCCCCTTTTTTTAAGTCTGAAAAAGATAACATTTTGGGCGCTGTTACAATGGAAGTCCAAAAACACAAGCCGTTATCAGGTGTCTTCACGTACTAGCTTTCACCTTCTGACTTCACAAAGCAACCAGAATTACAAAGCTCAGATGCCAACGAGTCTGCTGTTCTCCCAGGCCCTCAGTAGGGGCCTAATGGAAACCTGCACTTCTGACCTGGTTTGCCCTCATGTATGGCTCCTGGTTTCACGCTACGGCAGAAAGTTCACTCCTATGGAGTATGACGGGAGCATGCAGAAAAAAGGGAAGTCAGGCAAAGAGAATTAAGACTTACAAACTTGACAGAGACTTAAAAAAAAGGCATTTGTGTAACACACAGTTGCACAATCCTCATTGAATTCTTTGTCCTGGCAACAGGAAAAAAAAACACAGTTGTAGATGTGGGTGGGTGTTGAAGCACAGAGAGCACTAGCTGAAGGTTACAAGGTCCCCTCACACTTCAGGAGGGATTTTTGCCTTCCCATGTGAAATTACAACATTAAGGACGTTTTAATTTTGTAATTTTTTTGCTATGATTACCTCATGGACTGCGAAACTGACAGCCAGGGTAGAGAAAGCATTTAAAGCGAGACCTGTTCCTTCAGTTGTGGCTCTGGAAAGGTGTTTCTGTACAGCAGGACTGGGGACAGGGCAGTGGTCGGAAGCTCGCTAACCTACCCTCAGCTTGCATCCTCCTACTGCAGTTCAGTTAACTAAGTCAGGGAAAGCTGCGCTATCCCAGAACATTGTCCGCTTCACTCTCCCATTAACTCTGCACGGTGCTTACTGCTTCAGGGCACCTCTTTTTACCATAAAAGTAAACCAAGAAAAGTGCATACACTCAGGGAACAGATTTGCTGAGCAAGGTGGTGCCAGCTGTACACAGCATGTTGCTGTCTGTCTATGACTAAGCTGTGCAGGCATCCCTGAGGTACCGCTGCAACCACAAGGTGATGCACTGAATTTTACTCACCTTTCTGGCACAGAGTTGCAGCTTTCACCGACTTCTGGGCTGCCACGCCACGGTGAAACTGCTAGCATTGCACAAGAGTTTGCAGACCGCATAGAATATATATTCTTCAGACCAAAATATAGCTTAGGTTTGCTAAGCTTTAAGTGAACTACCAGGGACTGAAAGCAAAATAGCTGCAAAGTCACGTCAATCACAACATGCTAACTTGTTTAATCACATACTTTTAAAGATATACTCCCTAGGGAGGAGGTTGAGATAATTCAGATGAAAATTTACTTAGAAGACTTCTCTACCCGCAGTCAGCTCAGTGCCTGCAGTCCCCCCAGCGTGCAAACACTTTCTCAATTACAGTTTATCATGGTGACCATTCACTGAGCTAAAATAATATACTGCTGAGGGTACAAAATTTTACCCTAAGGTGTGCATGCTTGTAAGTGGCAAAGTAAGAAAAGGCTCCTTCCCCCTAAGGATAAACTGAATGAAAATGATTTTAAAATCTTAGCATGTGATGGGGTGCAAAAATAAAAACAAAGGAGGACTGCAAGCAGTTCAGCAAGAGTGGAATATACTATGTGCTTCTGCTCAAATAGCATTCTTGTGGAAGAGCTTCAGCAGACTTCAGGGCAAGCATTGACTGGAGAGATTTATGTCAAACTTTTTTCTGCTAAAAACACAGCTGCTAGAACCATGAAAGATGCGGTATGATGTGGAAAAAGTTAAATGCAAGGGCCAGGTCAGCATTATCTCCAAGAGATTACTTACTCCAGCTGACGTCATCTGAAGGATCGTAAAACAGCCCACTGTAAGGAGACACTTATATAAAAGAGAACGTTGATATATCATGTGTGTTATACTTGCTATAAATTTATTATTTTTTACAATTGAAAATATAAATACAAGAACATTAAATAAATTTACAAAACACAGTGCAAAGGCAATTAGCCAAAAAGTTAAAGCATTCACAGAAACGCACTCCAACTACTAGCATTCCAGTACCATCGTTTTTAACACGTAGTTAAAACCTCATGGATAAACACAACAAATACTTTAAATTCTCCCCTTAAAAGCATATTCAGAGTAGTCTCAGACATACGTGACCAAAAGAACCACACGTTACATACAGAACCACAAGAGGGTTTGAGTGCTTTAGGGGTTCAATTGCTGAACTACAACAGAGTCCCAGATAGGAGGCATTTAACTGAGGCTTTCTGCTGAGCACTGTTTCCAGGGCTCCCTACCGAGTCCTCTGGGAAAGCCAAGCACTTGCCCCCTTCCAGCACGTGTCTGCCTCACACAATCCCCTTTAGAGGGTCTGGCACAGCGGGATGTGACACTGACTTGTTCTAGCTCTTGCTCCTGTACCGAAGAGCTCCAGGAGCGTTCAGTCTTTGTCCAAGAACACAAGGAGAAAAAAAACGTCGAGAGCTGCCCACCTGTCTAACGGCTAAGTGCAACCAGGCCTCACTACTGTCCCAAAGCTAATTTCTGTTCAGGAAGACTCTTCACAACATTGTATGGGTTCTACCCATAGGTACCCCATGGGTTCTACCTATGGTTCTCCCTACTTTCAGCATCCAGAGCCAAAATCCAACCCTCCTTTTTGAGGCAAATTCCACAAAGGGAATGAAATTTTGCTTTGGGCATTTACTGAGCTAGGGCCTCAGAATATGTTTGGCCAAGCAAGGCCCAAAGTACAAGCAGAAGTGTTAATTAAAGTTCAAGAGCTGCCCCTTAATAAAGCAACCTTACAACAAAACCAACAATTTACTTGGCTACTAAAAATAGCAGCTAGCATTTATTTCCTATCATTTTTCTTCTTCAAAAAATAACACTACTCTAGTTAACCACTGCAGATGAGAAAAGGCAGTGTGTTTAATCTCTGTAATAACCACTCAAAATAAAATACTGACCTTGCTGAAATCAACGGCAAAAATTCCCATTGACTTAGTCAAGCCACTAACATAATTAAAGCATATTTAATAACCTAATGTCTACTCTTATATATCACTCCTCCGTTCTCGGCACTCCGCTTTGATGATACCCAGCCTCTATCCCTCCAAACTGCAGTAAGAGACCACTAATGTTCAAAAGACTAAGCATGTTCATACTTACAGATATGTATCTAGTGAACATATTTAAACCACTGTAAGTGATTGAACTTACTGAACAAATTAACTTCTGTGTCAGTTATTTCAACTAAAGGCACCTGCAAACTACAATAAAAGTTAAAACAAAATACCAAATATTTTTCTATTCAAAGGAATATTTAAAATTTATATTACAAGAAATAAATACAAAAATATCATTAAGATGCTTAACGGTAGATATTTTTCTGCTTACGTACAGCACTATAGAGTATGCAACTATAGCCTACAAGAAGTTGAAGTAGACAGTGCAGCTAGCATTTTTAAAGATAACATCATTTGTATACCTAGGCTGTAATTTCATACATTTATACAATACTACTACGTACTATATCCAGATAAACTAACTCACTTGTACTGAAAAAAATCTAAACAAAATATTCCTTTAAATATAAAAAAAAAATGCCCCCAAACCCGCCAATGAAGAATCAAAATGGAAATGTACCAGCTGTAATTCGACATCTGAAGTACCTATTTAAATAGTAGTTTCCTTTTCTTTTTCTTTTGTTAATAATTGTCTTTGTCAATCCATTACATGGCTGCCTTGAAGTTCCAGTACCATATACTAAAATCAGTTTTTGGTCTTCTCACATTATGTAAAACTGTTAAAAGTAAATCTGTACTTCACACTGTAGAACAGTGTGCTGCTTAAAAGGAAATCACATTTTCTCAATAAAAGTTAGGCTTCCCCTCTTTGAAGTCCTTCTGAGTGAGATATGGTTTTTTTGGTTGCCTGTATCGTCCTTTTCTTGAACTACAACTTGTTTGCCTGAAAAGTCATGGAGACACACATCACCATTCTGTACACTGAATGAAACACCATTCTTCTCACTGGAAAGATGGCCTGTAGAAACAAAAATGCATCTCCAGTCAGAAAGTTCAGAATCAAGCCCCACAGGCTCTTGCAGTCAGTATACAGAGTACATACACTCTAGTTTTAGTCCTATAACAATTTCAAAATGGGAATTTTTCTGTACATATTTGTTTTTCTGTATGAAATCAATATGAGATTTGGGAGATAATATGTTGCACATACAGTAAAATTATATATCTTTTATTCTGAACAGTGAAGGTCACAATTCTCTGAATTCGTGAGAACTTGACTTGGAATAAATCTCATTACATAATGCCAAATACTTCTCTCTCTAGTTTTGTATTAAAAGTTAAGTTTAAAATGTTTTCAGGTTTGCCTTGTATCTGAAACATGAAAGTGCTGGAGAACCAAGGACATTTTCTTCCACTGAAATGCACTAAATTTGCAGCATTTATTCCTGGACAATAATTAGAATATGGCCTAGGTCCAGTGACGGTTGGATTGAGAATCTTCCATATTAGGTGAATCTACAGTGAACACGTGTAATACTGATCGCAGCTTAAGAAAGAAATGGAACACCAACTCCAAAAATGCTTAAATTACTCAATGCAATTTCGTATCTCCATGCATCCCATCGTAGACATTTCTGTTGAGAACTGACGTTTCTTATTGTAAGTATTTGCGCAAATGCTTCTAAGTGGATTTTCCTTTTCTTTTTCTTTTGCAAAGTAGGCCAGTTTAAAAGATCTGCCAGGATACTGGTATCACATATAAAAATCTCTAATACCTTCTAAGAGTTCTGCTACATATTACGTTCACAACTGATTTTCAGAGTTCATTAATACTTAAAAACTACTATGTGTTAAATCAAAAGAAAATGGAATATATATAATTAAAGTTTTTGTTTGTGCATTTTATTAGGAATCCACAAGAACTGTGTTAATAAATGTTCCCGCCATTTAAGGTTGAGTGCAGGTAATTCATAAAGAGCATCATGATGGGGAAACAAAAACCAAAACTAAGACTACGTTAGAGAGGGAAGAATTTTGTTACACACTATTGAGAAATGAGTTCACAAACACAGATGCAGACCTGTCATTTATACTAGAAACAGCATTAATAAAAAAAAAAAACCATCCAAGTTTGCTACTTGTGTTAGTGTTCACAATACTGAACGTGCAAACATCGTCACTGTTGCCTAGTGTTAAATCCGCTGAAAAGACAGACAGTTAATGTAGAAACTACTTGCAGTTTCTGCCTTAGGGAAGATCAAAAACACCGGCAAGAAACCTCTAGGCAGTGAAAAATGACTCATTACAAGGATAAAAATCTGATCCTCCTTCTAGTAGGAGGATTCTAGTAGGATCTAGTAGGATCCTTCTAGTAGGATTCAGTTTATCAAATACGCAGTCTCCTGGAACAGAATCCTGCTATGGCTCGGCCTTCCCCTTTCACCCTTCTCATGACCTCAGACTTCTGAACAACTCGTCCAGAAGGGGCCAAACTGCATTACAGGACCCTCTCTAACTATTTCTTGTTGAGGTCACCAGAGACAGAGCATTAGGCATCCTCCCTCCTCTGCACTTAATCCCTCTTGCAAACAGGGTTCTGCTGCTCCAGTGACTGGGCTAGACTTGTCTTCTCTCTTTTGCTTGGAGCAGAGCCCCACACAGGTTTAGGTATCCGTCTACCCAGCTAGTTCCTCTAGAGGCATACACCAAACTTTAGGTAGACTGCATACCTTCCAGCAGTTTTCTTACCGACTCGAGCAGATGTGAGTGCATCACCTATATCAAAGCCTCATTTGCAAGCTTTACTTTGGAATGAGAGCCAGTATTTTTTTAAATAAGAAATGTGAACATGTATTTCCAGCTGACAAAGTTTGCTATCATTTTGAAAATATAATGCATATGACTAAACTTGAATATCTCAGCACGGGAGTTTAAGGGGTTTGCAGAGATGGCTGTCAAACAAAAGTTACAGCTCCATGCCAAACTACTGAGCTGCCACTGGACCTGCAAAAAGGAAGAAATACCCCCCAGAGTATGCAAAACCTCTTAAACACAAAGTTGAAGGTAAAAGACCATCAACCACTAAAATATGTACAAACGTAAACAGGGTAAGATAAGCAGAAAAGCTTTGTTAATCAATTCAAATCACGTAAAGAGCCAAAGGACAGAAAATACCATACTTGCTGACACTGTAATTGTACATATGTAAAGGTTTCACCCCCTGCCTGACTGCAGTATTTTTGAAGAAACGTTCAGAATAGCTATGCCCTATTGTTAGGGCAGAATCTGTGGAGAAAAATAAGGCTATTCTACGAACAAATTCAGAAAGGTGTTTTCTGTTCCTCAGGGATGGAATTTGCAGGTTCAGTCATGTGATACCTAATGGGAGTTTCCCAAACATGAAAATCTGTCAGAGAAAAACAGAAAATAAGGAACGTTAGTATGTCATGAAAAGATCAAGTTACACAATCCAGCAGGCAAGCAAAACCACAGGCTGTACACACATCTCAAACTTACCATGGCAAGTCACTGAACTGTCTGGAACAGCATTTCCGAGGAAGTAGTGAGGCCAAAACCGTAAGTGTTTACAGCTTAATAAACTTACGACAGGTCTCATTTCCAAGAGTACTTTCTCTTTGGAGTGTGCTGCTTTTTTTTTTTTTTTTTTTTTGGTAATAAGGTATTACAGTGTTATTGTATATTCCTAGCTGTGAGAGCAGGGGATCAGGCACAACAAATTAGAAGGTCCTATGATCTTATCCAACTTATCCAACACCTGCCTGACCTATCTAACCGGGCTTCATTACCTTTTCGGGGCGTTTGTCCAGCTTTTCCCAGATACAACTGCTCCAAGTTTGGGTGATTAAGAATAAGGAATTGCTTCACAGAATTTCCCGAGGAGGACCAAGTCTATGCAAGCATCAGCATAGACTTCTCCCTGGAAGGCCTAAAGACCCGGAAGTTCATTAAAAAGAAGGAATTTTTTGGTCAAACAAACTATGCGAGTATGTATTATACAGCCCTTTTGATACGAATGGAAGATATGGTACAGGGTTCACAGCATTCAAAACATGCAATAAAATGTAAGGGGAGATGAAGCAGGCTTTCTTGGAGACCTGAGTGTATATTGCAGCACTCCAAGTTCTTTCAGCTGCATTCATCTGAGTAGCTGTTGGGTCAACACATGCACAGACCCTCACACAGGAAAGATCTAATCATCTGAGTAAACCATGCATTTTTATAGCCTGGTATTAGATAGAAGAGGAGCACACGACACAGAATGCGGACTGCTCCACTATTTAAACGCTCAGTTTTGCATCTCATTCCAAGTACTACTAGCCAAAACAATAACAATTCGTTCTGGGAAGCCACAATAGGACCATCCACTCAGTTGCTGCAAAAAACAAGTTCACTAAAACATCTGCGGTACCCCTTTCCCTCTGTTAAACAAAGTAGTCGGAATGCTTTTGTAGCTGTGATGGTGCAAGGGTTCTAAGCATGGCAAATGTAGGGGAAGGTGATATCTTTTCTTAGAGTAATTAATATAGTGTAACTATATAACTATAAATATTAGAGTGACTAATATAACCTGTAAGACATGCAGGCTTTTGTTCCTGAACATTTCAAAAAGGTATTATTTCTCCCTATAAATATTGCCTTAATTTGTATTTGATGACAGTGAGAGTTACTGCTTTGGTTTTTTTGTCTGTGAACTGGTTTGTTAGATACAAATAACGCTACTGACTGTAGCGTGATAATGCTACTGTATTGTGTTATGCAAACAGAGGAGGTTTTATAAGGACATGACAAAAAAGGAACTAATTTTGTAAGCTCAATTAATTTGGAAAGCTATTCAGGGCATGTTCAAATGCCATTAAAGGAACATTTCTTGAAGTCTTGTGATTTCTAAACATTATACAGCTCATACATCCAAACGGACAGTAACACATAAACGGGCAGCACATATGAATTCATAGCTTTTACTTTGTACATCTGAGCGATTACTGTATTTTCCAGTTGATTATCTGTTTCTTCTAACAGAATGTGCCAGGAAATGAGGACAACCCAGACACTATGTGCTTGTTCTACAACTTCATACTAAACAATGCAGCTGGTAGCTTGGCTTCGTAACCTCAATTCCTGATCAACTGAGAGAAATAACTCAGGCACACAGGAGTAAGGTCCTGTAAGGTTTGCTCAGCTTAGGCTTTTCTACATTACAGAATTATTTTGCTTTTTGGAAAAGCGAGTATCTGTACTGAGAGCTCAAATCAGCCGCATTAATCACGCTTTACTTCAGATTATGTTGACTGCAAGAGGTTCATTTTTTAATTCAGTGGAGATTCGTATCTAATTTTCTCAGGAGACAAGCCACAGATTGGAGTGCTACAAGAACCTGCCTTTCTACTTCTCAGGAACAAAGCAGAGGGTAACAGTTCAGAGGACAGTACTGTGCTGGAATGGGAAAGATGGAGAGTTTTCAAAAGTTGTTTCCTGCAACATAAAGACATAGCTCTGTTAGGGAAAAGTATCCATAAAAGTACCCAGGGCAAATAAAGAGATATAGAGCAGTTCTGCTTTCAAACTTACTCTGTGGCCAAGAGTAAGCGCTCTGTGCTGAGGGCAAGGCAGCGCTCTCAGCAGTGGTCTCATCGCTAGGGCGATTTTATCTCCATTTTCTCATCTTCTCCCCTCAGTAAGAAGCTTCCATGTGTGTTTTCCATTAACGTTAGCAGAATTTCTTCCTCACATTACCTTTTACATAGTTCCGCTCATACTTTTAAACTATCTTCATTGGGTGTCTTACATTTCTTTCTTCTTCAGGCAATGTTTATTTTTATAAGGTTTAAAATACAAACTTTTAAAACACGTTTAAAGTTTATAGTAATACCTTCAGGTGGCAAGAAAGGCGTTAACAGCACCTTTTGAACAGTAATTGCTCTAATAATGAACGTTACCTACAATGTGGTATACAAATCAGCAGTTCATACTGAGTAGGAGACATGGATAGTTCAAAACTTTGTGTATTGCCCTAAAATGCATGTGTGGCGTTATTTGTGACAACATCCTGAATATTTTGATTCTGTGTTTATGGACAATAATTGGTCAACAATTCACTTTACATTAGCGTAATAGAGCATAAAGCTGTTGTTTTAAAAAAAGAAGGAAAATAGTCTGAGAAATACTTTTTCACGTTATACATACCATTCCCATTTGCATGCACTGAATAATCATTGTTCATTAGCAGTGTTGTAGAATTAGTGGAGTTACTGTTTGATTGTAAGGAATTGGAAGAACTGGATACTCCTTGATTTACGGTCTGCTTCTTTAAACCATTAGTAGCAGTTCTACTCCAGTCTACGGTAGATACATGTTACAGAAAGCAGTGCAACTCATAAAAGCAAAATATAAAAATGCAGCTAATAATGCAAATGAAACAGAATAACAGCAAGGATTTCCCAACTCTCCCCACAGTATTACAGTCAGAATAACAGTCTAAGAAATTCATGATTCTTGATGGTTAAATTTTTTGTACATAGTTTCTTTTTTTTTTTTTTTGGTCATTTTCTTCAATTCAGCAAGCAAGCAGTCATAGTTTTATGACTGTGGACCAGATCAAAGATTGCCAGTAACTAAAGTACAGTTGTCCCTCTGGAGTTCAAGTGCATGAAAACTACATAGCTTTATGGTAAGTCAAGTACTGAATAACAAAATACCACAAACCCATTTACAGGTTTATTGGTTGAAACTACCCATCTTCCTTTTGTTAAAGTCACTGACCAAACTACCCGTGACTTAGAAGCTAGAACAAATCTTAGGGTTCCTAATCACAATCAGTGGTCTTCTGCAAAGGTATACCTATAGACCCAGGAAGAGGTCCACTGGAGTTAACGACTTAATGCAACAGCATTTAAGAGCTGAATAAATTGCAACCTTTAAAGAGGATAGTTTTAGAGGCTTGCTATACCTAGGGTAATCAATTAGGCCTGGAACTACAGCAGTATGGTTAATTGAATAATAATAAAAATATGTATACAAAACGCTAGGGATTTAACACTGAGCACAAGCGTTCTGAGCTTATAAAGTTTTCATAATTACCGGAGTTTTCAGCCAGCCTGAATTTCCCACAACAAAGATATCTTCTCCACTGTTTACGAACATTTTCCTTTGTTACACAATAGAAGATAAAAATGAAGAACCCTGCAAAGTGATAAAGGTTAGGGAATGTTCCAAAATAGATTTTTTTTGCTGCTTCTTAATGCATAATGTATTAAAAAGTATTATGTGTAAATAATTCTGTTGTTGTTGTTACGTTCTAATCAAAAGCAATGTCACCTTTCTTTGGTGAAAAAGTTCACAACTCTGAACACTTAAGAATATTTTTCCCTTGTACTTAGATGATAGGTATCATAGACACAAATGGAAGAAGAAAATAGGTAACCAAAATCCACAGTTCTGTATTTTCGAATAAGAAGGGAAAAATCTGTGGATCCCGAACCTTACTGAAGCCTTTTGGTACAGAAGTCAAAACAATGTCAAACAGAGGGTATGACAGGACACTGTCAGGCTACACGGCTCTCAGCACACCTTTTAACACTGTCCCATATATCATAAACAGCTAACCTATTACTACCATCAGCTGTAACAGAACTGCTAACCCTACAGAAAAAGATTTTGGATTGCCAGCACCCTGGAGCAGCCTTACTGAACTTTCCACAAACTCTAGGTTACATGAAAACTATTAACTGTCCACAAAATCATAATTACATTATTTTAAACGTTTGTACAAAGAAAGCAACTAAAATAACAATAAATTACACCCCTTTCCCACAAACTCAAAGCCAAATATATTTCTGAAGGGGTGGGGCTCATCCCTGTCTCCTACCAGGGCCACATTACAGATGCATTATCTGCTCCTCATTCACTGCTATTGACACACGGTGGGACTTAACTCTCCCTCCTTATAAAAGTTTCCCCTGCTAAGAAGATGTGGGTTCAACCCCTCAACTAGCCAAATAGTCAAGATCCACAAAGATCAGCCTATCAAATAGGAGAGAGGCATATACACTGAACTGCTATTTTAATTGCTCTAATCTCTCTGGAAAACCATTCAGCCAGTCACCTAAGCAACTGAAGTGCCGCTTAAGCAGAAGTCTGGATTCTAACTTGAGTAGGACAATTCAGGAACATGCAGATACCTGAGGTACCATAGTGCCTACAGTTCTGCATGAAAGCTTTCATAGTATCTGAAACTCTGCTTTTGGATATGTCCAGTAGCATCCCTGCCTTTGCCAAGCTGCATGCCTAAGGACTCTCCTACTCAAGAACATTTGAGGTGGAGAAACAGACATCCCAGAGCACAAGTGCCTGGATAAACAGCCTGTTTGTGGGTTTCAGGCACTGAAAGTCAGTATCATGAAGGCCTCCACTCTATACAGGTGACAACAGCATGTGATGCACTGCTCTTAACTAGCTACCTTGGGCATTGTGGTGCACAGCACATTTGTAGTTGCGAAGCCTAACCTACGTACTACTTGACTACTTCAGTACTAAACGCCATCCTCAGCTTACTTCCAGATGCTGCAGCCTTGCCTGTCTCAATGGCCCTTTGCTGAATGTCTGACCCCACACCTAAGCCTTAGAGTGGTAAGCTGAGAAATAATATAATTTTTACTACATTAATGTGAACACGTATAGTAGCTGAGTATTTACAATTAGTCCACTGACTGGAGAAAGACAGATTGTCACTTCCAATGGTGTCTGGTTTGCGTACATTTATACAATTCTAATATTTATAGATATAAATATATTATAAATAGTAGATTGCTTTCCTGTTATCTCTAATTTAATTAAAGAATGTACCAAAATTACATCTTTGCTGTTGAATAAAGTGCCCTTTTAAAATTCTTTGTTCATTATATTGCACACAACAGGCTACGGCATGAAGGATAAACTTACCTTGCAAAGTGTTGAAAATGGTAAAGAGGTATGTAAATATCTCATTTACTGTGAAGAAGGCAAATCCCCAGGTAATTCCCAACAAGAACGTGAGACCAGCAACACTCCTGAGGTCTTGAATACTGGTTTTTCTCTGAGTGCCAAGCTGTTTTTTCTTTTTGATGCGACAGAGCTGGATCAGCACAACAATGAACATGCTGACATTGATCAGGAATATCACGCAGAAGTATCCCACAGCAGTAATATAGAAGGCTATTCTACTTTTAATCCAGCAGCTAGAACACAAGAGCAAAGTCTGTCAGCCATTATAAGTAACAGAAATCAAGTAAAATGAATATGAGATAAAGCTATATTTTGTTGTAAATGCAAACCATTTTTACCTCTTTAGTAAAATTTGGGGGTTTTTTGGCCAAAGGGTAAGCATATTCATACCAGCAGTTACCACAGAGCATGTGACATACTGCAGAGCCATACCATTTCAAAGCTCTCCCATTGCCTTCTTCTCTCCACCTCCTTTATTTCCAAGAAAAGCAGTTTGGTAGGGCTCGGGGG